CTTATCATACTAAGTCCTTTTATACCTAATAAGGCACCTTGAGATTTAAGGGAGCAGATTGTGGGTCACACAATTGGTTTGGTAGGAATAATTAACCAATGTTAAAAATCCAAAATAACTAAACATCATGAGAAATACTATTTGGAAATTTAAATACAATGTTAAAAATTTTATGATTGTGCAATTTTTTTTAGAGAGAAGCAGGTACATATTTAACTTGCTTTTCTTCGTAGTTGAATCTTTTTCTGTAGAGTCTGACGAATTTGTAACCGGCTGTGGTGTTATAACCCTGTTGTCATTTCCACTGGACGCTATAATATAAAATCATATGTACAGTTTGTAACATTAAAAGCACATATTTATGTAGTTTATAATGTTAACTATATTTTACATTACATATTGTTGTAATTGAATGTGCAGTTTTTGTTAAAGATGTTTAACAGCTGTTAAATGTGCAAAAAATTAAAGTTTCTACATTATATTGTCACCAATGAACCATTGTTTTAAAGGGTCTTTATTTGTTTTACATTGGGATCCATAGCTTTTTATATTTCTTTTTAAATGTGACTTCATCTCCTGTTTTACTTGTATCGCTTCTGAAAACATCCGACAACAAATCTCATATTCAAGTAAACTTACATTCATGCAAATGCAGTTTTTTCTTCTTCGATTCTTCATTTAAAGTCGTGCCATCTGATAACATCACTAAAAAAAATAAAAAAAAATGGGCCACAATGAACATCGAAGTCCAGTTGTAATCTCATCAATTCAGAGACTGTTGCATTGGCTTCACACTAAGCGAAGACCCACAATGGAATAAAATTTATACATTTGGGTTCTCGGGAATGCTAGTAAATCTTTTTAAAAAATCTAAGCCTTGTTAATTCAGCCTTCAACAGTTTTTAATATTCATTTTTCCAGCAGAATTCCAGCTTTTATCGCCCTTTTGAGATACCTGATATTGATTTCAAATGTTGTACCTGAGCTTGAATTGAATATTTTTCAAAATGATTCTCTAAAATTCTTTACGGAGGCCTTAGAGTTCGTAACATGATTTAAATAATTTCAAGTGTACATAAGATGAGTATTTCTGTACAAAACTTTCTCTTTTGCCCTGTAAACTCTGCAGGGAAATATAATTCAATATTTTTGGAATACACTCCTTTGCTTCCAATACAATGATGAATTCTGAACCAATTTTGTGTTGTTCTTGTTTCAAGGACCATGGTTCGAACATATTTTAATCTATATTACATAACAAAATTTGCATAACATCATAAGAGCGATATTTTCTCACTGCTTTCCTTCATTATGAAAATTTTCTTTAAAAAATCATCAGACTAGAAAACTGACAAAGTCATACGAAGACCCACATTGTACTTGTATCAATATTTTTTTTTAACCAATGTCTAAAAAAAGTGTCACTTTTAAATAAATATGAAGTCTGCGTGCTGAAATAAACATAATTTTTAATGGAAAAATAACATTACAAAATGAGCAATAATTGATTTTAGCTTTTAAATTTTTGACAGGTTGACTTCGAATTTTACAGGTTTTTAGCTCACCTGTGCTGAAAGCTCAAGTTAGATTTTCTGTTCACATTTTGTCCGTGGTCCGTCTGTCCGTCCGTCCGTCTGTAAAGTTTCAACATTTTTCACTTCTTCTCCAGAACCAACCAAACTTACCACAAGACATTCTTGGGTAAAGGGGATTCAACTTTGTTTAAATGAAGGTTCATGCCCCCTTTCGAGGGGAGATAATTGAAAATTAATAAAAATTTGGTGATATCTTTTAAAAATCTTCTTCTCAAGAACCACTGGGCCTAAAAAGTTCAATCTTACGTGAAACTTTCTTTACATAGTGTATTCAAGTTTGTTTAAATCCGGACCCCCAGGGGTAGTGTGGGACCACAATGGGGGATCAAAGTTTTACGTATGAATATATAGGGAAAAATCTTCTCAAGAACAGTAAAACCATGTTTAGTCATATTGAGATGGCAGCATCCTCAGGTAGTATAGAATCAAGTTTGTTCAAGTCATGACCCCTGGGGGAGGGGGGGGGGGCACATTGGGCAATCAACGTTTTACATAGGAATATATAGTTCAGAAATCTTTTTCTCAAGAACAGCAAATCTATGTTTAGTCATATTGATATGGAAGCATTCTCAGGTACTGTAGATTCAAGTTTGTTCAAATCATGACCCCTGGGGATAGGATGGGGCCACAATGAGGGATCAAAGTTTTACATATATAGGAATATATAGGCAAATCATTAAAATTCCTTTTCTCAAGAACTGCAAAGCCATGTTTAATCTTATTTGTATGGAAGCATCCTCAGGTAATGCAGATTTGAATTTGTTCATATCATGGCCCCTGGGGGCCACAATGCGCTATCAGAGTTTAAAATACGGATATATAGAAAAAAAATCTATAAAAATCTTTTTCGCAAAAACAGCAAAGCCAGTTCAGTCATATTGTTATAGAAGTATTTTGAGGTAGTGAAGATTCAAGTTTATTCAAATCATGGGACCACATCTACAAAAATCAATACACCTGGGGGAAGGGTGGGGTCACAACAGGGATCAAAGTTTTACATAGGAATGTATAAATTCAAAGAAAAAAATCTGATGAAGAACAACAGGGCCATATTGATTCAGGTGAGCGCTGTGGTCCATAGGCCTCTTGCTCTTTTAAAAAATGTTCACCTACAATCTTATATAAGAAAATCTTACTGAAATTTTTGACATAGATAAGCTATAATTCAGAAAAGTTCATGTGCTGATATTTTGAAAAATATAAACTTAATCTAAAATTATTGATTGTACATAAACTCACCCACTTTTCCCGTTGTTCGTTTTCTTTGTACGAGCTGCCCTGAAATCAATTTCAAAATAAAACGTTTTTAATAATTTCCTTTACAGCGTTATTTCTATAATAAATGTTTCCTTTAAACATACAACACAAAAATATTCTATTTCATCTTTAACTTACAACTTAAATACACTCTGAGTTACAGTCGTAAAATTGATTGACTAGTTGAACTTTTCTACTTTTTAAATTGATTCTGTACGTAATATAAAATACATCATGTTGCCACATAATATATCCTTTTCCCGGTCCGGTGTTTAAGAACAAAATTTTCCCATAACAAAAAAAAAATTCCCTGGATTAATTAATAAATATATAACAAATTCTCCCTCATGGGGGAGCTCTGTTATATAGCAAAGATGCAATCATCTTACATTCACGTTACTGGTTCTAATTTTTCATGTGCAATTAAAAGGGTAGAGCCACAATTCGTTTACTCCGCGATTTGAACAGATTATTTCTTGATTTATAATTTCCATGTTCATTGTTTTTCAATGCATTATTATGTATTTCCAACAGTCCAACTTTTTTATGCTAGTTGTTAATCATTGTTAATCACGCTTCTTGCAGATCATATAATTCTTTGTTATATCACATTAATCAAGGTCAAGTGTCTCTTTGTTTACAAATAAAATGCTGTTAATTGGCATTACCATAAATATTGATCAAGAACTCAGTAGAATTCGATCGTATAACGAATTTTAAAAACGAATACTTATAATGCGGGTGCAAATTTAATACGGAGACATATTAGATCGCAATCATTCTGGAAAATGCTCTAAAGAGATAAAAAATTGCTATATGGAGCAATCACTCCCAGGGAAAAGATTTGCAATATATGATTTCTTCCGTAGGGGAGAAAGATTTGCTATATTGCAATTAATTCAGGGAAAGTTTTGCTCTATTGTAAATCTTCGAACCCGAATTGGATGTATATCCATCATGTTAAAAGCACTTACGAGGAATAGAAGACTACTTTTTTTGGTCAATTTTATACGATCTGTTCACTTTTACTTATTTATCCGGTTTTTTCAGTGATTCAATAAATTGGCTCAGAAAACTGTTTTTTTTTTTTAACTAGCCTCGGTTATACGTTTACAGACGAAATGGATGAAAAGTATGTATTTACTTCCAATGACTCTTTCTTATGAAAACCTTATTTGCAGTTATACAGAGTAACCATGGCCGTAGGAACGGGGGGGGGGGGGGGGGCACGGGGGGCCGTGCCCCTCCAATAATTTTGCCGATATATAAATTACTATAGAAAACATAGATACTATATGCTTGTGCCCCCTCAATGAAAACGTCTGATGAGCTTTTTTTTTTTTTTTTTTTTTTTTTTTTTTTTGCTTGTCAAGAAATTTTGGTAGTTGATAGTGCCCCCTCAACTGAAAATGTATGGCTGTGCCCCCCCCCCCCCAAACTGAAATTGCTTCCTACGGGCCTGGTAACAACAATTGACTTCTAAACTATTTAGATTTTTTGAAAGTCATTTGTGACTCTAAAATTAATGTTTTTCGGTTCTTCCCATCTACATGTATGTAACGAAGGATCAACAATACAATATTTTACGCACTTTCATCTACTTTTTAGGAATAATTCAAAGACAGATGTAAATATAAACAATAGAATGTCTTTCTTTGTTGTGCTATATGGGGTATAGCATTTGCAATAAATTTTATAACCCTTTAACGCGGAAATCTATTTAACTGCAATGTCACAACCGTTATATCCTATGTCATTTACTAATTATTGAATTACTAGAAATGTGAACTGTTTACAGACGACACACGACGGACGACAGACGGACGCCGGGCACATTTTGAGTAGAAAAATTCAGTTGAGCCTTCGATCGGCTCAGGTGAGCTAAAATGCTGACTGTGCGGAACTTATGGGCACACGGTTCAACTTTATTTGTATAAAACATTCAGTATAATATAATAAATCCTCTATGTAGTTCAGGGTAACATTGAAAATTTTCACCCCTCGAAAACCATTGTCAACCTCGACTGCGCCTGGTTGACAATGGTTTCCTTGTGGTGAAAATTTTCAATGTTACCCCCAACCAAATGTTTATATACATGCAGTATTTTATATTATCTCCATACCATTCAGTTTAATAAAGTACAATACCTGTACTATTGGCTCTTGTGGAATCTGTAGTTGTGGTTTTTCCATCATTTTTACATTCCATGTCTATCGTTCAGTTTTTCTTGCGTTTCAGCACACATCTAAATAATACTGAAACTAGTTTTTTAATTCATTATGCATTAATATTTTGTTAGAAATCTCGTGACAAAACTTTTTGCATGCCTTGTCTTTCGGTTCTTCTTTAAAACAATATAATTGTAGTTGAAAGGTGCTCCTTGAAATCGTATAACTTGGTACCAAATCATATCTTAAATGGACTCATTTCCCAAATTTATTTTCATCATTATGAATATATTCAATGTGATCATTTTTGCAAATGTTCAAAATAAAAAAAGGAAAATTTTCCTATAAATAAATTTAAATTTAAAAAAGTTGTGATTTGTCACGTTGGGAGATTGAAATTAAAAAACATATATCAGAATGGTTCGTTAATTTGAACAGTCCAAAATAATTTATCAATTAATTTTAACGATCTGTGAACTCGCAAAGAGCTGCAGTAATCTGTTACACATTAAACGTACATACAATTATATAACTTGAGCTCCCTGTAATTTCCTCCTGAAAAATTGAAGAAAATGATCACAGTTTGAGAAGTAGACCAGCCTAAGTCATGCTAAATCACTGATAAAAGAAATCTGAGAATTTTGAATTAAAACATTAAGTATAATATGCTATTAAGAACGTGCATAGAACACTATCTGAGGTTATGGAATTTACATGTAGACTCCATATGGTGAATACTAGTAATAAAGCATATTATAGCAGTTTTTCTGTTTAAGGAAGAAACATTTCCATGAATTCCAGATGAAACATCACTCATCCATTCATTTGTTTAAAATAATTTTATCTCTAAATTGAATATATTTGACTTACATGTAGGTCATATCAAGAAATTTAAGTCAATATCTCATTGTTTTCTTAATTTTTCTCTTTACCTATTTATAAAATTTTGAGTAAATAAGTTTCTATGCTTATTGATATAAGTATTCCTACACGTAAAACACCAAAAAAAAATTTAATCCATATAAAGTAAAAACTTTTAAAACATGCTTTCTCAATTTTTTCCTGCCATTTTGATATTCATTACATAGTTGTTCAAAGTATACATTATCTGCCTGTTTAGTTTTGTTACATTGTCAGCCCACACAACAAATTTTTACTGATTTTCAAGACTTAAACCTTAGAACGTTCTATTTTCGGTAGTACGATTTAATTGTACTCCGTTTAAATCTTAAGCAACACAATCAAGATCAGACAATGTCTCAAAACAAAGTCAAAATTTCAAATTGGTATAAACATTTTGAAAAAAAATTTTAAATACAACAGGTTTTAATACAAAAAGTTTATATATCATATTGTATATGTTTGAACATTATATAACCGCCCGTTTTATAGTTTTCGTAGTGTCTGTCTACCTTAGCGGTTACTCTGCGTCGGAAATTAGCTCAACACTCGCAAAATTTTCCACCAAAAGTTAATAAAATACTGAGTATATAATAACAATTTGGGGAATCAGTTACTAGTCACTCCTTACAATATATATATATATATATATATATATATATATATATATATATATATATATATATATATATATATATATATATATATATATATATATATATATATGTACTGGGAAACTCGCTATACCGTGGTCAAGAGGAATTTCATAAGATTACGGACATTAAATATATTAACTCAGAAACAAGCCGAACATAGCAAATATTCAAGATTGTGCAAAATATACATTTTGCACTGTCATAATTATATGAACTTGCAACTTTTAATATATTAAACACGTTTGTTAAATAAAAAACGGATATTCTAAGTTTTGGTTCAGCACCTAAGAAAGATAACTCTAAACCCACATAAATTATGAATGATTTTTCCCCCAACAAAATTTGATTTTTCAGTTATAAGCAACACATGCATTTTCCCCCCTCAAAATTCAATCTGTAACTGTCTAAATCAATATCTTTCTAGACCATCAGATTGCAACAAATGTCAGTCACATACAATTGAAATCGAAAGTGATGACTAGCAAGTAACTTTCGTGGACTGGTAGTCCCAAAATTAATGAATAAATAAATAGCCTTTAGTTGTCGCTATATATGTGAATGATAGGCCTATATGTCAGTTTGTGACACTTGAATTTGAATGACATAAAAGTATTCAAATGGAATCAAGATTAAGTCCAACCGAAAGAGAAAGTAGACATAATAGGTCAATTGTTTCAAATAACGCAGGCATGCAATTATATATGACAAATTCAAATTTATGTAACCTCATACATGTAAATATAATAAAAGTATGTACCAGTTTGTCTTGTCAGGTCCGCTTCTCAAAATTCCATCCTGTTTTCGAACAGAAATCATGTGCCTAGATACAATAAATTTAACACTAAAAATATAAACATGTAACGATTTATTTCCGGGATGATAGAATAACCCTTTCAAATAAATATTTTTATTTGATCAATAAAAACCATTAAGAACTCGTGTCTTTTTATATAGATATATATTCTTGAGTTATTTGAATTACTTTGGTTAATATTACATAATGATGATGAGAACAGTACCGAAACACATCGATCTAGGAACCAGGCTTTCGTAGGAAAAAAAATCGTTTTTCAAGCCCCCCCCCCCTTTCCTTCGGAAAAATCGGGGCAAATTGGGGGTCGAAAAATGACATTTGTCTACGAAAACCTGGTTACCAGAATTCCTTATCCATTTCATGCAGTAGCCAACTCATCCTTTGGAAGATGATTTTTGGTTTCCTGTAGATGTGCAATATGCTTTCGAAATTTTGTTTTTCAACATCAATGCCAATTGGGGTTAAAAAAAAAAAAAAAACCCTAGTTTTCAGCTCGTACATTTTACATAAGAGCCAGGTACATAAGAGCCAGGTATCTTTTGGAATATGAATGGTGGTGTCCTGTAGATGCGCAATAAGATTTGTAATAGGACAAAACTTTAGAACACCATTTTCATTAGTGGTTCTAGAATATTTTTTTTACACTCTCCTATATTTTCACGTTTATTATTTCCCAGGTTCTTATTTTGATTTGAGATTCTGCTTGGTCTTATTCCCGAGCTTATTTGTACCTTAATTCAACACATCATGTCAGTCGTAATGAAAACACCAGCTCCAATAAACAACAAAATTTATTAACCTTTGTATAGACAAAAAAAATATAGTATAAAAAAATATAACAACTGTGAATTCCTGCCTTGTAGAAAAAAATCCTAACAACCGTATAAAAATCACCCCCCCCCCCCAACCTAGCGTACGGAAACGCTAGCCCAACCTACCCGGGGGAAAAGGCCTAGGGTAATAGAAAAACCCCTTATTTATTTAAGAATACCTTAAAACCTATCTCCTAGCTTTTAGAATTATGGCCTAATAAATTTAACAGGGGCAATAGACGACGACAATTTAGTCAAAATGCCTAATATCTTAACATAATTTCTAGGGGTGCAACATGTTAAATACCTAATAAACCTTTATTAAAGTGAGAGAACTTACAGCAAGTTAATGCTTTCCAAGATTCCCCACGTGTCTAACAGTTACACGGGTTTATATACTCTTTGGAAACTAAGAATCTTTAACTTGGAATCTAGTGAATACACCCCAAGGGTATGAACTTTGACTGAAATTAGTAACACCCAAAAGGTTGACTTCCGTATTGATAGCCAATGAGAATTTAGATCATCAAACATAAACATTTACCCGTAAGATTTGATGGAAGCAACACGTGCTATTATCTGAGAAGGTTTGTAAATATAAAAATGATATGGGGGACAAGGCAGTATACCAATATATGCATGAAAATATTAATAACGACATTATATTGATTATACAAGGCATAAATGCATATAACAAAATTCATTCCTGCTACACTCCCCCCTTCTTAAGATATAAATGATTATATCATTTATTCAAAACAAATAAAAAAATATAGCAGGAATTAAAAAAAAAAAATAAGGTAGAAGCTAAATATCTTTTAACTTCTTAATATTAAAAGTAAAATGAAAGCAATTTTCTAGCATTTAAACATGTTAAATGTAAAATTTATAACTTTTTCACTGTCTTTCTGGAAGTTGGCCCCTAGAGTCTGTTCGTTACCACAAAAGTGTCTTCTCCTTGAATGACCACCTCCTGGTCCCTGGCGTTGGTCTCTTCCCGCACAAGGGATCCTGCATGAGATAAAGCTGCTTCATTCCTTCGTAACCTTGCCTGTTCATCACGGAAACGCTTCCGGGCCTCAGGGATCGGCTGGATTGGCATAAGCCCCTTCCCTGGATTTTCATATTTGATGTTCCTGACCGTTTTGCTGATCATTCGATTATCCAGACCTGGATGCCGCTTTGCCTGGTGTCGCGCAACTTGATTTCGCCTCTTAGCAGCATAATTACAATGTCCGCACTGGAACAAGATAATCTCCTTTGAGTGTTTGTCCATCCAGTGGTGTCTACACTTGGGAAAACTTCCCAAAAATGTCCCACATCCCTCAGCAGGGCAGGTCATACCTCCCTGCGGTCGTAAATCATAGTCTAATGTAGCCATCTCCTCCTCGCTTACCAGAATGTCTAATATGTCCATGAAGGCTACCTATCAAAATAATTGTACAACTAATATTAGTTTTTATTTTTAAAACAATCAATTATGCCAAGGTAATATCAGAGTATAGGAATCGGGCCCAACAGTCCAGCTGTTTTTATATAAATATTCCGACTCTTTTATATTACCATGAAATAATAGATAAAACAAATTTCCAAATGTTAATTACAGAAATTTGAAATTACAAATTATGACAGATAATATTTTGAAAAATATGTTCCTTTCAAAATATAGATAATTTTGAAAAATTCACTTATCTGAAATAACTTTAAATAATGTTATGGTGAGTAGATCTCTCTGGGTTTAATTGTTCTCCCAGCTCTTGTTTTTACAGGAGATCTTTGATCAGGTTGCACCAAAGGACTATTTGGAAGTGGTTCTGCTATTTCGCTCAAAGTTCCATCAAAAGTTTGGTTTTCATGA